TACCATAATAGCTCCTAAGTGGAACATTATATCTATCAGTCTTAAGTGCTGCTGTGGATATAATAGCTTCAGTCATATTATTATAATCTTTTTTATTTAGAGCACTTGGAAAGTTGGAAATTAAATGTCTCAATCCGCTACCATTCTAGCCATTACTTACCTCAGTACTAAGTAAATACTAATGAAACTCTGTCATCTCTGATAAAATTATATTCTGAATTCTTTCATGATGAAGTACAAATTCAACATAGATATGCAGCTTTCCCTGTTTTCCCTCTCTCTACTCAGTTAAAAATGTCTTCTCTGAAATGGCAAGTTTCTGTGTGCACAGATTTTTAAACTATCAGTGGACTTCAGAGAGATTTGGAAACAATGTGAAAGGGGAAATGGAGGAAATGCATCCTTACGTGATTAGATAATATTCAAGTTCTAGATGTTATATGCATAAAACATCCCAAACCCAGAGAGGATCAAGTATTGGGAGAGACACTGAACAAAGAAAGCTCATCTGAACTAGGGGTTCTCAAAGAGCAACCCTTAGTACTCAAGATGTAATCCACCACGAACAGCTGTTTGCAACATCTAGGGGCTTTATAGAAATGCAAATGCTCACGCCCCAGCCCAGGCTGACCTAATAGTAATCTGCATGTTAACAAGACCCCAGAGGACTCCCATGCACTTTATTTATTTTTTTTTTAATTTTTTATTGTGGGTTGTTCAAAACATTACAAATTTCTTGACATATCATATTCCACACTTTGATTCAAGTGGGTTATGAACTCCCACCTTCACCCCATACACAGATTGCAGAATCACATCAGTTACACATCCATTGATTTACATATTGCCATACTAGTGTCTGTTGTGCTCCGCTGCCTTTCCCATCCTCCCCCCTCCCCCTCCCCACCTCTCCCCTCCCCTCCCCTCCTCTCTCTCTACCCCCTCCACTGTATAACCCTGAGGGTCTCCTTCCATTACCATGCAATTTCCCTTCTCTCTCCCTTTCCCTCCCACCTCTCATCCCTGTTAAATGTTAATCTTCTTCTCCTGTTCTTCCTCCCTACTCTGATCTTAGTTACTCTCCTTATATCAAAGAAGACATTTAGCATTTGTTTTTTAGGGATTGGCTAGCTTCACTTAGCATAATCTGCTCTAATGCCATCCATTTCCCTGTAAATTCTATGATTTTGTCATTTTTTAATGCAGAGTAATACTCCATTGTGTATAAATGCCACATTTTTTTATCCATTCGTCTATTGAAGGGCATCTAGGTTGGTTCCACAGTCTTGCTATTGTGAACTGTGCTGCTATGAACATCGATGTAGCAGTGTCCCTGTAGCATGCTCTTTTTAGGTCTTTAGGGAATAGACCAAGAAGGGGAATAGCTGGGTCAAATGGTGGCTCCATTCCCAGCTTTCCAAGAAATCTCCATACTGCTCCCATGCACTTTAAAGTCCAAACCCATCTACAAGACTCCAGGAACTTCACTGGAAAGAAGAGCAATTCCCTCTTTTAACCTTTGTCCTTGACAAGGAATGTGCTAGGCATTCCACATAGCAGAGAATGGTGCTACAGGATACTGAAAGTGAACAGCTGTAACTCTAAAAACTCAAATCAGTCTGGGGCCTGGGGAAGTAGAGAGGGAAGAGTGAAAGTAGTGCATACTACATCCCAACCAATTGCTGGAAAGAAAAGCTATTGTTGGAACCATTTTACCCTCTTCTCTGTGTGATGTTATTGGATTTGATTTCCTTTCTTCTAGAGAAGGACACATTGGTTTAAAAAAATATGACCTAGATTCAGTATTCCATCCAGATGCTTTCAATTTGGCAGGCCAAAAGCAAGTTTTGCATAGAGACAGAACTCACTGAAAGGGATGAGAATTTTAAGTTTGAAATTCCAAAGGCATTTTAAAGTCAAGAAACTGTTTAGAAAAAAAAAAAGTGACCTTGATATACCTCTGCAATGATAATCATCTCAGAGCAATCTTGGAATAAGCTCCTCTAGGTACCTTTGTAATAAGTCTTCCTGGAACTGAGTTCAAAACAACAGATTTTATGCTAAATCTCCCTTAGGCAAATGACAAAAGGTAGGAAGTATACTAAGACCCCAAACACATCTAATTTAACTAGAATAGCAGGTCAGAGCAAATTTGTAGTACTGGGAGTATGGATAAAAAGGGAAACAACTGCAATTCAAACCCAGTTTCTCCTACTACACCCCTACAACACCTATCACTTCTGTGACCTCAAAAGGTGTGGGGAATTCTCCCATCAGCAAGTAAACCATAAATTCTGGCTAACATATACCAACTGGGTGTCCTCTAATTCAATTCAGTTCTGAAACTGTCTATGTGGAGACAGGATCAGATTCCACTGATTAAGGAGCTCAGATCCCAAGACTGCTTTTTCTTGGTCATCTGGGTGAACCTCTGAATCAAGCAGTCTTAACTTGAAGTGTTACATTTTGTATTGTTACATTTTCTGGGGCTTGAAATCAAGATCAGACTTTCAAAGAATGTCCTAATTCCAGAAGATTAAAAAAAAAAAAAAGCCATATTCTCAGTAGGGAAATGTCAGGCACCCTCAATAAACACGGTAGGAAGGGCCCAGGATGGATGGGGATGGATGGAGGGACTTCTCTAAAGCGTACTACTTGACTTTCTCCCATTCCCCTTGTAAGGCTGTATAGCAGGAGGGCAGAGGAAGAGTCAAACTGGGGACTGCAGAAGGTTTCCCTCACACATCCCCTCAAAAACTCAAAAGAATTTGCTTCCAATGTGAGCACTAGAGTATGGTCTACTTGGTCAACTCCCATCCTTTACTGAAATATGAAAGCAAGATAGGATATGGCTTATTCTGTTCATGTATGACTAAGATTCCAAGCTCAAAAAATACAAACTCCCAAACCAAAGAGATGGCAAAAATCCCTGGACCACTAGGAAAATGTGCACCCTTGTCAAAGAAAAGAGGATTTTGGGGTCATCAGAGGGCTTAGACATGTACCTTCTCCATCCTCCACCAACAACAGGCTTAGAAATGCCTGATAACAAGTATATTAAATAAGATAACATATGTAAAGCACCCAGCATGGAACTCAACAGATATTGCAGATTCAATAAATATTAGTTCCCTTCCCTATTAAAAGGAACACCAGCTATAATGTTTATGCTATCCGCTGACCATTATTACCATGTAGCACAGTAAGAAGTGTGTGCATAATTAAATATGTACCACCATGGTAATTTTGTTTTTAAATTTTATTGATAACATCATTATATACATTATGTAAGCTCAGAGTTTTTCTGCTTATGCAGCATAGTTATGTTTCTAACTTAAAAAAAAAAAAACTCAAGGGAACATCTGAGAAAAGAACTGTTTAGTGGTTTAACAAGGTAAAAAGAAAAGTTTAACAACTTCCTGAAGTGTGAAATATCACTTTGCTCATTGTTCTTCCTGTCCAAACCCATCCCCAGCCCACCCTTCAACCCTGGTCCTCCCCCCACCCTCCCTCGTCCACCCACTACACAATACTGACAGTGATAGTTCTCCCTACCTTTACCCTCATTTTAAAAATTAAAACTAAAACAGCTTCCCTTGTCACTACTAGCAAGAACCAGGAATATCCCCTTCCATCTGTTCTCTTAATACTTCTGCAGTTCAGCTTTACAGTTTAGGGACCCCAGCCAGGGCAGCGATTGCAACAGGAGTTGATGGTTCTCTGCCAAAACAACCCTCACTCCAGAATCATTGATCAAAACACTAACTGGAAATGATCATGGGCTGTCACTCAAAGCCTCAGGGAGCTGAAAGCAACCACACCCATTTATCAATATCTGGAACTAGGAGGGAGCTAGCATCAGAATGAAAAATAGCCAGACCTCTCAAACTTAAAAGCAGACATTAAAATAACCCAGAACTGGAGTTGAAGTTGAGATTGCAGGGAAGCCAGTTGGAACTCTCCATGATAGTCTAGATAGGAATTATTTTTCTTTAAAACCTTAGGAAGCTATTGAACATATTTAGGAAAGCCTCAAAAGTGCCTATCACTGAAAAACAATCATCTTATAACCAATGTCAGGAAATGATACTATCCACAAAAAGAATCAATTGCTTCAAAATTAGTGTTGTCGTATCAAAAAACTTCAGCTCCCAGTTCAATCATGGGGAATATTTTAAATGTGTTCATGACAGAAGTCACTAGACATAAGCTGGTTGACCTAGTTGCCCAACAATATCCTTTGATCAAAACTTGATTAAATCAAAACTGAAATTGAAAATAGGGTCATGGTCAATAGGTAATGCCACATACACCTACTCCTACAGCTATTAAAAAACAAATCAAAAAAGTAAACAACAGGATTAAATCTCTTAATTCTAGCCATTCTCCAGACCTTGGACTCTCCCACCATAATTTTACATATTCTAGTTACTACTGTCATTCATTCATTCATTTCTTCTTTTTTTTTCCAGCACTGGGGATTGATTGAACCCAAGGGTGCCCTATCTCAGAGTATTATATTCCCAGCCCTTTTCATTTTGAGACGGTATCTCACTAAATTGCCCAGGTTGGCCTTTAACTTGCAATCCACCCAGCTGAGCCTCCCAAGTTGACTACTGTCATTTCTTATAAAGAATGACACACTGCTTATCTTGTAACTGTTTGGGCTTTTTGCTGGTAGCACACGTATTTCTTTTCACACTAAAGACAGAAGAGAAAATAGAAATGGCAATAAGAATCCTGGAACTGGCTAGAGTTGCCAGGTTTGCAAAAATGAACCAATATTTTGATCTCCAAAACATTTTTAAACTAATAACTTGCTGGAAATTTGTTATCAAACCAAGTGAACTTTAATAGCTGGCTTTAAAAATTAACCTTGAGATTCTGGGAACGTGGTTGCTGCCATTCGCTTTCCTCACGCCTTTGCAGTCGCGTCAATTTTAGCCACATCTTAGAGAAGGAGGAGTAGGCCGCCGCCGGTGAGGAGAGACCGAGGATAGAACTCTGTTCGGGCCAAGATGTCTATTGGTGTGCCGATTAAAGTTCTGCATGAGGCCGAGGGCCACATTGTGACATGTGAGACAAACACGGGTGAGGTATACCGAGGAAAGCTCATTGAAGCAGAAGACAATATGAACTGCCAGATGTCCAACATCACAGTCACGTACAGAGATGGCAGAGTAGCACAACTGGAACAGGTGTACATCCGTGGCAGCAAGATCCGCTTCCTGATTTTGCCTGACATGCTGAAAAATGCACCCATGTTAAAGAGCATGAAAAATAAAAATCAAGGTTCAGGGGCTGGCAGGGGGAAAGCTGCTATTCTGAAGGCCCAAGTGGCTGCAAGAGGAAGAGGACGTGGAATGGGACGTGGAAACATCTTCCAAAAACAAAGATAATTTTCTCTATTGAACAGAACTTTACTCTTCTTCTTTTAGATTATCTGAATTCATGGGGATAGGTGCCTGTATGTGTGTCCTAGGTTTTGTTTGGGGATTTTTGTTTTGTTTATTGACATTTTTCTCTTGGATCAGAGGAAATGTCAAACTAAATAAATTTGGTTATTTTGTTTTTTGAGAAAAAAAAATTAACATTGAAATGAAACAAGAATGTTGGGCAGGAAATTGGAGCATCCAAAAAACATGGATGAGGACATCTGTGAGATCTAAGTCAATTTAAAAAAAATCTTCATTCTAACTCTACAGACAACCTTAGTGACACACCCAGATATAGAATCTGTCAGGGGAAGCAAGTTTACTAGTCACATAAACAATACTAAACACAAAAGAAGGCATATGCCTTAATAGAAGCAAACAGCTTCTTTTCACCATGTGAATAGTTATTATTTTAAAAAATAAATTCCAACATAATATTTATAAGATATAAGTGTTTGAGTGATTCTCCACCCACATTTTTACCTCCCAAAAATCTAGCTTGGTTACTTCATAAATGTTCAAACTTATTTTCTAACTTTTACCATAGAAACTTACTACTTCATTTAAATACAATGCATAGTGTATTTCCTTTAAAATTAGTACTCATAAATACCTTAATGACATGATGTTCTAGTCTCAAAAAGTTACAGAATAATGTAGCTCATCATGTCACTGCCATTTCTTAAAAGGTTATCTTACAACTCTACCTTCTGTAGTTCACCTCATTAATAAAGTTGTTCAAAACAATCTAGGGGTTGGGGAAGAGGATTAATTCTATGGTGATCTCAAAACAGTTTTTCCCTGGATACACAAATTTAGGCTAGACTCCCATGAGATAAATAGAACTCTTCCCAGTAAAGCTTTGGTCTAAGGAATACAACATTCCTTCAAGCTGGCTTTTAAAAAGATAACTCCCAGAATCTGAGGATAGACGGTTCAGCTCAGCCTCCCTCCCTATGCCTTGTGCCTCACTCTTCTTCACCCACCTCTCACTCTGCTTCTGCAGGGTATGCAGCCCAGCCGTCCCTGTCTGTTCCAATCCCAGATCAAGTATCCATGCACCCTATTCCAAAACTGCTTTAGTCTCAGGCAGAGAGCAGGCAGAGTCCTTTATTAAAAACCAGGCTGTAAAAGACAGTGGAATGAATAAGACATAACTTTCCTATGTACATATATGAATATGCCACAGTGACTGTCACCATGATGTGCATCCACAAGACTGGGGTCCTAATTAGAATAAGATATATTCCATGCTTACATAATTATATCCACTGTCATGTATAATTAAAAAGAACCAACAAAAAAAAAAAAACAAAGAACAAGGTTATAAGAAAGCATCCTCTAGGAGAATGGACAGTTCTCAGATAAAGCAGGCATATGCTAGACAGACACCCCAAAGGATGTCTGACACCATATCTAAGTCTCCACACATAATGGTGAGTTTACCATCAGGGAGCATATTGCTCAGATATCCTCAGTCATTTTCTCATTAAGATCATGTACAAATTATTCAATTGCAAAATATGTTTCCTATTTCTATCTTTGGAGATACTTGTGAGACATAATTCTCCTTCTCCTCTTAAGAATCTGGCCATTTCACATAGTCACAGTGAAGAAGAATATCTGTGGCATTTAGGTATCCCCAACACTCCCAAAAAATATCAGGAATAAAATGTTCTTGTGATAAACCAGGTAGAATTTTATATCCTATTACTAAAGAGCTTCCATTTCCCCTATCAACCCAATACATGGCTTGCAACTTCAATAGCTTTGGCAAAATCACCACTACTGGACAATAACTAACACGAAGTTCCAAGTTGGAAAAATTCATTCCTCCTCCAAAAACCTAAAGGAAACTATCCAAACAATACTAAAGACTAAAATTACAATTTACACCATAGGAGTATTGTCCTTCCTACTTTTTAAACTTTTATTGAACATCTATTATATTCTACATACTTGTGCTTTTATTGAATATATGAGATAATTTCATCTGTATAGGAACCTCACAATTTTGTGTATTGAAAAACTCTCATCCTCAAAATGATTTAGGTATTTGCCAAAAAATATAAAAGAAGAATTTAAACCTACTTCTGCCTGATGCCAAAACCTACGTTGCTTCTTTTACCAGCATTAATAGCTAGGGTTTATTGAGTACTTACTGTTGCCAAAGATCTAATTCCCAGTGCTTCACATATATAACTTAGGTAAGACATGTAGAAACTGGTTAGTATTAGCTCCATTCTGCATATATGAAGTACAAAAAGGTTAAATATTTGCCCAAGTTATCAGAGCCTATGAACAAGGAAGCTGAGATAACAACCCAAGCAGTCCAGTTGCACTCACATCAAACTGCTTCCACTGGAGAACTGATTCTGTAAATGGCTGGTTACTTCCTCATGTACCTTCTTTGTGATCATTCTCATTATTAAGTTCATAGCACTCAAATGTATCTGCATGAGCAACAATGAGTCACAAATTCAAAGGGAAACTGAGTTAAAACTGCAAGTCTTGGGGCTGGGGTTGGGGGTCAGAGGTAGAACACTCAGCTAGCATGCATCAGGCACTGGGTTCAACCCTCCGCACCACCTAAAAATAAAATAAAGGTATTGTGTAGAATACCACCTACAACTAAAAAATAAATATTAAAAAAAAATCGCAAGTCTTGTCCTTGCATACATGGAGAACAATCTTGATCTCTAGGATCCATTTTCATTTCTGTGCAGAGATGTGTGTAGTGTTTGGGGAGGTTAAGAGCATGATATTAAATAATATTGATAATTCTTTCCTAAAAATGTTCTTTTTCTTACCTCTCCATTTTAGTATAGTTGCTGCTGAAAGACCTTTAATATACTATACTCTTCCAGTATCTTCCTCCCTCCCATTGCCCCATTAAAAGTCTTACAGTTTCAAATGACTACAGTGTAACTGGTTCAGATAATGTATTGTCATGCACACCTTATACATTTTATCCAGGGGTCTCTTACCATAAGCATCACTTCAATGGCAACAAACTGGATATGGGCCATGACCTGTGGGGCCCTGGCAACCATTAACTGTCAACTACAGCTTATGCGTGATGCTAATGACGTTCCTCAAGAAGCCACATTTGCATGACTCCACAATTTGCTAAATCCCCTTAAATTTTGCTAATAAAAGGCTGGCGAGGTGTTTTTTATTATTAATTTGTTTCCCTTTTCATGACTTTCTATACAGGGACAACCACTTACATTCAAGCAACTAGAGCATATCCCTTTCTTGACCACCAAAAACCAAACCAAACACCCCTGTGGTAATTGCTTTAGATGCAGACTCTTTTTATGACATTCACAAAGCTGGGAAAGAACTGCGCGAACATTGTACTTTGGGAAAGATGAAGCCAATTTCAGAATCCAGTTTTCAAAGGAAAATGCCATGTTTGTTTCATGTCAGCCTCTGCTTCAGATCAGAACCATGACTGGGGGAAAAAGGAACAAAGCTGAAACCGTTGGTCTGGCTGGTTACTTCTAAGCAAAGCAGAGGGCAGATGGAAAGCCTCTCAGTTGGCTGAGCTCCTTGTCTTGTCTACCTCCAGTCTCTGGAAGCAGCTGAGCAAAGCCTCCCTCAATGAATGAGAATTAACACACACACACACACACTCTCTCTCTCTCTCTCTCTCTCTCTCTCTCTCTCTCTCTCTCTCTCTCCCCCTCCTCCCTCCCCGCTACACACACACACACACACACACACACACACACACACACACACACACATACTCTTCCAAATGTTTATAAATAACATTATTTAAAAATACAGACTGGTTGTCACACAGACAGGTGCTCTGGCTGCCTTAGCAGTTTTAATACACAAGGCTCACTGCCCAGTTTGGCAAAGGTCCCATCTCCTCTCCCCTCCGACTGATCCTAGAGTGACACAGTATACAGCCTTGGGTGTATATGTGATCCTTGAACTCAACACAATCTCTCATTAAGTTGGAAAGACTTCTGGAAGAGAGCCTGTGGTATGTTGTGGGTTTAGAATCAGGCTTTGGCGTTATATGTGTGTGGGTAAAAGAGAAAATCAGCTATGCTTATTGCATCTGCTTGCAGTCACATTTGCATACGCACATTATTGCCGGCTACCTACATACATGTGGAATTAATGAATGAATGAAAACATGTAGCTACACATACTCACACATACACAAACACAGGGAGAGGTATATAACTATGCCACAAATATATAAAGCATTTAACTGATTGACAGATTCTGGTAGGGACAGAGAGAGAAAAAAATGCCATAGTATTTTTAAATGAGCATCTTGTCCTGTATACAAATGTCTTACTACAGACTATTTATTTCATTGATTTCTAGTTAAAAAAAAAAAAAAAATCTGAGCATTGTCTTTGCTAACACAAGCACCAACCCATCACATCTCTTTTGTGTTTCCCTTATTGGGTGGCTGTGTATAAATTCCAGTAATTCTCCTGCTGTGTATGTAGGTCATGTGTGAAAAACAAGTCTCAACTCAGTGATCAGGGGGCCATATCTTACCGTCTATCCCATGACAGTCATCTGCAACACAACTGGGCACTGGCTGTATCCAATCTATTTCTACACTGTATTGTCACTGGTCAAAAGTGGCCTTGTTCTGTTATTCCCTCCATTTTCCAACTGAAAGGGGGAAAGAACTGATAAGCCTGAGCTCAATTTTTTCTGGCAATTATTGCAAAGGTCCTACTGTGAGGGAAGCCCTGCCCTTTGGTGCAGAATGACATGCAGCCATCCAGGGTTCAGACAAAAGGAGACCCTGCTTTTCAGCAAGTGTACTCAGCCATGTATAGGCATACTGGCAGAGATGCCTGCCCATTCACCACTTAATGGGAAAAACAGAGAGACAAGAACTTGAGGGGGGAAAAGTAGAATGGAGGATTATCAAGTGACACCAGTGGAGAGGAATAACGTCAAGATGTGAACTTGGTGAAGTAAAAGAAATAATTTTGGCCACAAGAAAGTAAATCACGGATATAATGTGGAAATGTTTTTGTACTATCCAGCTAAATTATGCTGTTATTATAATAAAGGTTACTATC